GGGGTTGATTATTCACTTGCCCTCTTAGTGTTTCTCTCTAACCAGGGCATATGCCCTGTGGCATAAAACCTTAAAAAAAAAAGAAAGAAAATCAAAACTGTGCAACAATTATATATAGAGTCAGGTAAGAACTAATCAGTGTACACTAAAGCTATTGGCTAGAACAGTCTCAAAGTACCTCTTTGCACAGTATTTATTAATTACAAAAGGAAAATGATTAATTTGATCGTAGCACATAAAGCAGTATTCTCTGTTAAAATGACAGCAGTCTCATACATCTCGTGTTCACTGTGTCTCTCAACTGCCTAACTGTCTCTTGTGCTTGATTTAATCTTAGTTGTTTTGTTCAACATGGGCCTTCCAGCAGGACGAGACAAAGAGGTAAGAGACAGTGATACTGATAATCCTGACTCTGGGTAGGCCTAGGTTAATGAGTGTGTGTGTGTCTTAATTTTTTTACAAAAAAGTTTAGAGTAGAAAAATTTAGAAACTTAAAAATCAGAAAAAAGCTTAGAGTAAGGAAATAAAGAAAATAGTGTTGCTACATCGCTGAACAATGTTTGTGTTTTAATCTAAGAATCATTATAAAAATGTTAAAAATGTTTAAGTTAAAAAAATTTATTTATTTAATTTTATTTGTTATTATTATCTCTTAATTTGACCAACAAGAGACAGAGAGAGGGGGAAGGAAAGTGAGAAAGCAAGCTGCCAGGTCCGGGACTCGAACCACAGTCAACCATGTGTGAGTCCAGTGCCTTAACCACCATACTACCTGCCAGCCCCCCACTTTTAAGTTTATAAAGTAGAAAATTTATAGTAAGCTAAGGTTAATTTATTAGGTTGTCAGAGAGGTCATGATGTATTTTACTATGTTTTACTATATAAAAAATGCATCATGACTTCCCTGATGAATCAATATTTAAGAAAACTTTTTTTTTTTTACATAAATTTACTATAGCCTAAGTGTACAAGGTTTGTAAAGCCTATAGTAGTATGCAGTCATGTGCTAGGTCTCTATTTCTTGTACTATATCAAAGAGCTGAGATATGACCAAGCATCCACAGAAGTAACCAACCCTAAGAGAGATTTTCAAGTGTCTTGTTGATGATATACTCCTGGTTTTCCTATACTTGTGTTTCACTGAATACTAATGATTCTGTAACAAAGGACTGGGGGAGTGGTTTGCACAGTCATATATGTTTGGGAAATTATTGGGTTAAGTCAATTTGAACAGGTTTATTTACCTCAGAACGTCTCAAGAATTTAGGTAAGCCAATGAGTTTTCGATGGGGTGATTTGGCCCTCTTGGCCAAAATTAGTTTAGGCAATATTTAGAGAAGCTTCTGATTGTGACAAGTGTTGGGGAGAGGAGGATGCCACAGGCATCTAATGGGTCGAGGCCAAGTATGCTGCTAAACACCTAATAATGGATAGGATGGCCTCCACCTAATGGCAATAGAGCTGAGGTTGAGCAGCCCAGAAGTTACCTAATATGCTATATTAAACTCTGTTAGTAACAAGATTGAAAAGAGACTTATTTACCTTCTAAGGCAAAAGGTGTAATTTATTGGAGGAATACCAGTATATCTCCCCTAATTGAAGGAAGGCTGAGATTTAGCAAGGCTTCAGAACAAGAACAACAAAAAAGAGACCAGAAGACAAATAGGACTCTGCCTCATGTATCTCTTTTCTCTGGCTTTGGTTTCTTTCTCTCCCACTGTAAACCAGTTTGTCTACATGGTGAAAACAAACTGCTTGA